AAGAGCAGATGAAACTGCGAAGATGATTCCTATTGGAATTTTGATCATCATTTAGAACCGATTCGAATTGGAATGTTCTAAATAGATTCCTTGTTGTAGGATCATTTAGAGGATAAAATGGCCATTTAGGAGATCAAAAAGAAAATCTTTTAGATTAAACTTTAACGCCTTTAAAATATTTCCTTTTTTTAGTAGCAATACATTATTCCAATGTAATAGAAGTACATTTCTGAATAAATTCTAATTCATAATATTCTAGACCTGTAGAAATGTTAGTTAATCCATTTCATTTACATAAGATTCTTATTTGATTCTTTAGGTTTGATGCCAAATTATATTATATTATATTATATTAAAATGAATAATCTTTAGGTTTGTGGCCAAATTATATTATTTATATTATATATTAAATTGTGTTGTATTATATTATTTCCTTTTTTAGTAGAAATACATTATTCCAATGTAGAAGTAGATTTCTGTATAAATTCTAATTAAAAATGACATAATATTCTATCTAGACAGAATTTATAATATTCTAGAACTGTAGAAATATTAGTTAATACATTTGATTCACATACGATTCTTATTGAATTTTTTAGGTTTGATGACAAATTATATTATTTATATTATATATTAAATTGTATTATATTATATTTCCTTTTTTAGTAGAAGTACATTAAGCCAATATAACAGAAGTAGATTTCTGAATAATATTCCAATATAATAGAAGTAGATTTCTGAATAATTCTAATAAAATATCCTATCTATTAATAATAAAATATATAATATATAATATGTGTATTATATTATATTATATTCATTATTATATTATATTATATTATATTATAGTATTATCTTTAGATTTGTGGCCAAATTATATTATTTATATTATATATTAAATTGTATTATATTATATTTCCTTTTTTTAGTATAAATGCATTATTCCAATATAATAGAAGTTGATTTCGGAATAATTCTAATAAAATACCCTGTATTCTATTCTATTCTATTCTAATCTCTAGGTTTGAGGCCAAATTATTTTTTAGGCCAAAAACTTTATAGTGCATAAAGGCTTTAAGTATCAAGACAGCCGTTACCTAGCAACCTCAGCAGTGATCACACCCTAGAAACCCTATGCCTGCAACAGTTGCCAAGCAACCATCTCCAAGCAATCATCCCTGTAATCCCATTTGGGTTGCTCCTGTCCTGTTTCTGAATGTATTCTGTGCTCTGACTGCAGGACATGCCCTATTCCAAATCCCAGTTTAAGAAATGTGCTGTTATTGGGAACGGCGGCATCATCAAAAACAGCAAGTGTGGACGAGAGATCGACGCAGCTGACTTTGTCTTCCGGTAAAATACTGTTGTTTGTGTTGGTTTGTTTAGACATTATGGGAATATATAGAGGCATCTGCTGAACGACATGTCAAATCTCTTTCAGATGTAATATTCCTCCCATCTCAGATATGTACAGTGAAGATGTGGGATCTAAGACTGATCTTGTTACAGTAAATCCCAGCATTATAACTGAGAGGTAAACACACACACAAATGTTACAAATTATTATTATAGGATTGCTCATATTGTAAATACCAGTGTCTGGGTGAATTTCACAAAAACATGTCCAGGTTATATTTAAAAAATTCTAATCTTCATTCATTAATTCTTATTTATTTATTGTTTGTTTGTTGCCAATATTTACCCTTTTAATTTATTTAAATAATTCTCATTATATCCTGATGATTCTTGTTATTCTAATATAATAATCGTACTGTGATATTTATTTATTTATATTTTTAAAAAATCAGCTAGCAAAACAATGCTCATAACTTACAGGTAACACAACAAATACTACCATGATGAATATAAATACTTTATGATTGAATTAATACATATGTATCTTGAGAGTTTGCTGTGAAAATGTGTTAAAATAAGGGTAATTTAAAAGAAATTCTAATAATAAAAACTAATAAATAATATTCTAAAAAGCTTCATTTTATTTAAGCAACATTTAAATGAATTTATTAATTATTAATTTTATATTAATATAATAATATGAATAATTATAATAAATGTTATTTTTTATATATTAATCTATGAATTCACATATTAAGTTATATTAGTAGTAGTAATAATAATAATAATAATAAATAATTATATAATAAATTAAAATATTTTTAATACAATAATGTTTTTATTAATATTATTATTATTACAGAATTAGCATTTTAATGAAAATATTATATATATTTTATGCGAAAATGCCTATGAATGCTAATGAAATCATTTTGCATGCATACAGTTTGCGTTCCTGTAACACAACCATTGAGACACTAGTTTTCTCTCTCTATTTGGACCAGGTTTCAAAAGTTGGAGAAATGGAGAAAGCCATTTTACGACGTTCTGCAGAATTACAAGAACTCCTCGGTGGTTTTGCCGGCGTTCTATAACACACGGAACACCGACGTGTCGTTCCGCGTGAAGTACATGCTGGATGACTTTGAGTCGTCCCGCGGCGTGTTCTTCTTCCACCCGCAGTACCTGCTGAACGTGCAGCGCTTCTGGGCCGTGCAGGGCGTCCGCGCCAAACGCCTCAGCAGCGGCCTGATGCTGGTCACCGCCGCCATGGAGTTATGCGAAGAAGTGCATCTCTACGGCTTCTGGGCATTTCCCATGAACCCCTCCGGAATCTTCATAACGCACCACTACTATGACAACGTCAAGCCCCGCCCCGGTTTCCACGCCATGCCGTATGAGATCTTCAACTTCATGCATATGCATGCTCGCGGCATCGTGCACGTGCACACGGGCCCCTGCAGGTGAAACCGCCAAGCGTCTCTGCAATCTGATTGGTCCGTTTTGTAGAGCTCCTCCCATTCACTGGCGCTACGGAACTCAGACTTATGTGCGCAAATCACGGCCTTAAAGGCCAGGCGTTATATTACTATGTGTTTTTACAATATCGTGTCGGGACAGTTGCAAAATGATACGTGTTTCCTGTTTGGTGATTTTCCGTGATGGTGTCGTATTTGTGTATCAGAGCAGATATCACGTTTTAAACTTTGTGAGGAGGTGCCAAACCAGGCACGATGCAATAAAGCGCAACAATCGGGTTCTGGAAGTAAAAATTCATTCATTTTCTCCATAGGAAATTGATTTTTAATGGTAAACCTTTTAAGACAGACTTGTTGTGAGTGCTGAGGTTATTAATCGATGGTAAATGCTTTTGTTGAAGCCATCTGTTCACATTAATTCAACTTATTTCTAAAATAATCATGTTTAAAGATGCTGCATGTCATTTTTTGACTACTAAAACAAAAATACCATAATGTTATAAACATGCTAAGCTCACGTGTTTCTCTGAAAAACAATGCTACTGCCAGTTATTCTACTTTGAAATGTGCGTTCCTTGTCAGAATGTCTGTTTTTGTTTTGGTCTGTGTGACTCCGCCCACTGCATGTTTACCCAATTGTATCTCAACATCCCGGGTTGCCAGTTGGCAGAAAACATAGCATGTTCCAGCCATGGAAGCCAGCAAACAAATTGGGTCAGATATAGCAGAATCTACCCGACATAAAAAGCCTTGGCATCCATCTAAAATCTCTGAAAAGAGGCATATTAAAACGCGGATAAATCAACTCATCAACTTACAGTGTAAGGCTCCTTGCCTACCATTGTCAGTTGTGCTCGTTCCTGTTAGGTGTCCAAAATCTGGCAACCCGCATGAACGTCCGGCTTTACCGGCTTTAAAGAAGAAAAAATCCCTATGGGAAAAATTAATGCGAAAAATAATTCTGGAACTAATGCCATTGAAAAAGTGGGTGGGCTCAAATGCACTCTATAAAGCAACAAATTAGATGTTCTATTTCTACAATTTCTATTTCTGCAGAGTAGCCCAACCCACAGTGGAATCTCATTGGTCCAAATCCTATCAGTTGTATATTAAACATAAAATATACATCACAGGCTGTTATTGTGTCATGTTGCGTCCGGCTAAGACAGATAAAGCCACTCCAAACATGGTTTAAGAGCAAGTTTACTGTTCATTAACAACCACATCAGTGCATAAAAATAGACTGAATTTGACATTTCAAACGTTTATGTAGGCTAATACATGTTTAACGCACAGGTTCTGAAGTTATGTATGATAATTTACAAGGAAGTATAACTTTATGTAATCAAATCCAACACAGTTGTTTATGTCTTTCTCTCACACACAATCTGTGATTGAGGTTTTAGTGTCTTTTAAATCAACTGATCATGTTTATAATGCTGAACTTGATAAACGTTGTTTTCAGGTTGCTTGTATATGATATTGTGATAGCAATGTGACATTATCACTTTACCAAGAAATCGACTTTTTAAGATTCATCAAGATCCTGATTTCATGAAACTTGAAGACATCTTAAAGGCATCTATCTATCTATCTATCTATCTATCTATCTATCTATCTATCTATCTTTACCATTTATTTCTTGTTGCACAAAAATATCTGTCACAGAATTGATCAGTTATTCTATTTTTTACTTTTTAATATTTATTAATTTAATATTCATATTTTTCATGCATTGTTTTTTTTTGGTCCCGTCATTGCTTTGTTAACACAAATGTACAGTTATTTGTCAAGCTAATAAAGCACACAGATCTGCTTCTAAGCTTTGTGATGCGGTTTAAAGTGAGTTTTATGGTGTTTTATATTATATTATTTTTAGTGTCACAAACACAGAAGGGTTCTCTCTCTTTATGTCTGTCTCTCACAGATATCCAGAGTTGGTGTTGGGTGTTGAGCCAGCAGTAAATAATTAATCCGTTTCAGAGGTTAATTTGTGTTAATCAGACAAACATTATAGTTTGATTTCTTTGGAGTTCTTGGACACAGACACACAAACAGAATGAATTATGTTTTGTAGGTATAATTTCCAGAACTTAATTGGGGAACATGCTACAAGCTTCCATTCAATAATTCTGTGATGTCTTTTTTTTTGTGTTTTATTTATTGAAAAATTATTTTTACAGTGGACAGTGGATTTATTCTAAACAAGTGATTTATTATCCATTGCAGCATCTACAAAATATATAATTTTCCTTTTAATGAATTTCAGCAAGAATAGATCACCTACAAATTAAAATTAATTATTCAGTCTCAGCTCATTCAGATATATGAATCAGAGAACGAATCGTTCATTTGAATCGGTTCTTTTCATTGAACCACTTGGTTGGCTTACAAATCGGACTGGACACAAACAAGAGGGTCAGATGTAAGTATATTAGCTGGTCAGCTGACCCGTTTGTTGTCTCTACAACAGACTGTTTAGTGAAGTGTGAATTATTTAACATATGGTGTTGTCTATATGTGTGTTCGCCCTAGTACTATGTGTGTATTATGACAGCGCTCTGTCATATCGCCGCCTGCTGGTCATGTCAGTGATAGTCAGACTACAGTATGTGTCCACAACAAGATATGAGCAAAATAAATTGAGTAACAAGAAAAAAAATGGTGAGTTATTTTCTTTCACATGAATAGGGATGATGGTTTGTTGTGGTACAGGGTCAGGACTGGAAATTTCCTACCTACAAACAGCAAATCCTGAAACAAATACACACCATCCTTGTTGGTAATTTGTTGGCGTCTGAGGGAGAGATGAAAACGTGTGCATGCGAGTGGTGTGTGTGTGTGTGTGTGTGTGTGTGTGTGTAAATGAGCTGGTGGGGGCGTGTGTGTGTGTGTGTGATCCTGTGTTTATCAGATGATAGCTGTATCAGGTGTTCATAGTAATATAGCTAAAGGCAGGAGTTAAAATGGCATGTCGTCTCAAGAGAATTTCGAATCGTTATTCACACACCACACACTTCAGGATCAACAAAGACAAAACAACAATACACATCTAAATCATACTCCCACAAAAATTAGCATTAGCGTTAGTTTTCCTGTCAGTAATCCCGTTAGTAATCCTGTCAGTACAATTATGCATTTGTTTTGTATATCCCTGTGTGTGCATATATATAATTACTCATGGTGCAATATGAGATTGTCTATAGTGATTGGTAAATCAATACATGTAAATACATAATGTCTGAAAATAACAGACCTATCAGTAGTTTTGCAATGTAGGCCTATGTATGCCATAATTTCCCAGCAGAAATGTTTAGGAATTTATGTGTCTTGGAGTTATATTCCAGTTGTAAACTTTCCAGGTGTTAATTGCAAATTTTCTTTGCAAAGAAAACAGCATTTGGTGAAATATATATATATATAAATATATATATATATATATATTAGGGCTGCACGATAAATCGCATGCGATATTTA